CGCGCGGAGAGAGAGAGAGAGAGAGAGAGAGAGAGAGAGAGAGAGAGAGAGAGAGAGAGAGAGAGAGAGAGAGAGAGAGAGAGAGAGAGAGAGAGAGAGAGAGAGAGAGAGAGAGAAAGAGAAAGAGGGAAAGAGGGAAAGAGGGAAAGAGGGAAAGAGGGAAAGAGGGAAAGAGGGAAAGAGGAAAAGAGAGAAAGAGAGAAAGACAGAAAGACAAACGTCTGAAGTGTCGAGGTCACAACTACTCGGACGCCACGCCGACCCGAGTCGTCATCGGTCGTATAAGCGGACAGAGCGAGCGAGGTTGGCTTTGGACAAAGTAGATCTCGCGACACCAGAACGTCACGATAATCAATTACACTTGTTTCTCGGACTCTCGTTACTACCTCGCTGGTCAGTTAGCCAGCCAACTACCTCTAGCCCGTCGCGATCGTTCGCGGCGAGTCACAAGATTAATTTCAAGCCCGCACTCGCGCCGATCGTGACTGCAGGAGATGATAAGGCGAATAAGCGCGACACGACGGTTCTCTCGATCCCTCTCGAACGATCGCGCTCTCCCGACTGTACGCGCGGATGTGTGTCACCCAGGTAGTGTCCGCGGTGTCGCGGGTGCTGGGGCCAGCCCGACTGACTTCGCTCCGCACCGTGTACGCGCCCGACCAGAGCCAAGGCTCGTGCACCACCAGAAAACGGCGATTCGCCGAGCATAGCTGGCTGGCTGGAGGTGGTGGCTGGTGCCGTCCGAGGGGCGGCGGGGAGATTGCCACCCTCAGCCAGAAGGGTGGCGAAAGGCGGAAGAGGAGATGGATATCGGCTGCGAGAGGGAGAGACGGAGAATGTTGCGTGCGCCGCAACAGGTTACACCTCAGGGACGAGAACGATCGCGGGGCGGGAGATATCGATAGCACTTTCATCTCGGTGGATACTTATACTTCTGATATCACGCGCGTCAACGTCGCCGGAATAACTAACGGCGTCGAGTGGCTCGCTAATTAATTATTAATCGGCTCGCGCATTTTGCGTGCCTGACGCGCGACATGTAATTGCCACATGCGGGCGTGCAATTGGAGAGAGAGAGAGAGAGAGAGAGAGAGCTGCTCTCTTTATCTTGTGTTTTTATTTTATGTTTATTCTGTGATTATACGTATGTATCCCGGCGACGTTCGACGATAAACGTTGATTGAGTCGCGACTGAATTCAACTTCCGCTCTCAGAAGTAGGAGCTTAAACTTTTAATCCGCTGAAATCTTAAGTGGTAATTCCGTGAAACTACTAGCGTAACTATTCGCGCAAGAATTTGCGTCGAGATGCTTACCAAAGTGGTTTGCATCGGGCTCGTTTTAACCGGGGGAAGCGTGAAAACAACTGACGCTTTTTCTAATTCGATTCATAAAAGTTACGGCCGCGCGATTTGTATGTCGCTCTTTAACCGCAAAAATGTCGTGCGTAGCGCGGGGACGTTTAACGTAATACGAGGACAATCTGCATCGCGGATTATCGCACAATAGCCTAACGCGTTAAAACAGGAACATTAAAAAATTTTTAATTCAGATTAAAAAAAAATGTATGTTGTTTGCTATATATTCTGTTGTTCTCTTTCTCTCTTCCTCTCGGTGTATTTTTCAGCTTCTTCGCGATCACAATAACGAACATAAAGAATGCAAACTGCCGTATCAATTTGAGACGCGAAATCGTTCCTCTTACGCCGCCTTATAATCGCGCGAAGAGATCTCGACGGCGAATTCGCTCTTCCGTAGCCCATTCAATAAAATTGTACAAATAAAAAAAGCAAAAAAGAAAACACTGTACGCACAATGCGTGTACAATTTGTTCGAGAAACTGCGAAATGAGATTGCCCGTGTGTGTAACGACGGCGATGTCTAAATTGAAGAATGTCTAAGAGCCTCGGAAGGCAATCTCGTATTAAGAATAACGTCGTGGTGTACGGTACATTAACCTAATTACGATGTGTCTTCGATGTACTTTGCATAAAACGGGAGTTCACTATCTCGCAAATTGATCCGTGCGGCAAGCTGGAACACATCAGACGCTTTATACGCGAGCGTTTACAAATACGCGTTACAATACATGCGAATATGCGCTACGTGTGAGCGAAAATGCGATATAAAATTCATCGAAACTTCCAGTGGTCTCAGTCGCTCGCTCTGAGAAATCGCGAGGAATTTAGCCCGGGCTTAATCTTCCGCACAGCTTAAATGTCGCAAGTTTCGCAAGAGCGTGAAAAGGATCGTCGTCGCGCTAAATTTCCCGACATCAAGTTGTATATCAAATTATAACTCCGAGGCGGACCTATTTTGCATATTCCGTCAGCCCGTCCAACGCGTAAAACGGAAGGGTGTTATGGGATATTTAGCTTATTATAAACAATAAGAAAAAAATTAATCCGGAAAAGCAGGCGTGTATCGGAGCAGTAAACGTGGCACTTTTAATTCCGGCTCGTTTGAAGTTAGTAATGGATTTCTACGATGAATAAGTTATAAATATTAGTACACATCAACGAACGTTAAAAGCGAGATCAAAGAGTGACTCGGCTTCGTAAAAATATCGTCGCGCCATGATGCACCTCGCACGAGCTGTGTCTGTGAAAACGCGGCGATACCCGTGACGATTACGAGCTCCGTCCGTATCGATCCAAATTTCAGATTCTGTGGTCTTGTTCGGCGCGGATTATGCGCGGAGGCACGACAATCGAGATAATATAAACCGTAAATTTATTTAATCCCATTTTCATTGAATTCACAGCCTCGGCCGCATTTGCGAGGAACAAGAATTTTATTTCGCTCGACGAACTTTTGCGCGCGCGCGAACGCGTGTAATGCATAATCGCATTCGGCTGACCTCTCGTCGCGGTTTGAATTTCGAAAAGTGGGCCGAAAAGATGTGGGTCACACACCGATCGAGTTAACCTTTGACATTAAATCGATTTGTTTACTTCGCGTTTCGCTTTACGTAAGAAAATTGCTTCCTCGCGTGCAATGTATACTTGACGCGAGTAAATATCATGTAAAAGAACGGCGAACGAAAGAAAGCTCCTGTGTTTCTCAAAGTGTATTCTCGAGTTCTTCTCGATGAGCGTACGATTATTAAAATTCATTTAACCAACAAGTGTTAACAAACACGAATGTGTATTTGATCCCTCTACAAATTAAACGTCAAGCTTGCTGCTGCGAAATCTTGAATGCAATTTCGCTTTTAATCCTGTGTATTCGTCGAAGATTACTTTCGCTGTAACTTATAATTAAAAAAATTTAATTTGTCATCTTTGCTTCAATACAGTTCAATTTCAATGAACAGTTTATCGCATGTTGCATGTAACAGCAATTTATCGATTGCTACTTTATCAAAAATTTCGTAAATAAAAAGACGCCCCCGCGATAGTAATAAGCGAATAGTTGCGTTGTGAATGTGTGTGTATGGTGTTAATTTTTCATCGACGTTATTTTGATCAAACAACTCTCTTTGCCACCGACGAGATAAGAATAAAGATCGCCGGCTCAATTCCGCTGTTTGATAACCTCTCGTCGGTAAATTTCGCCTCTCAGGATACATGATAAGCGCAAAAATGTAATTTTGCAGTAATACACAGTACACGTCGTTGCAAAATTGCAAAATATTGAAATAAATATAGATTGTAAGATTAATACTTTGTTATACCCTAAATGTCTGGATATTTATATCGGACGACTAAAGATGGTCGATAATGTTATCATTCTTTTATTATTATTATTATTAACTCCAAATTCACACCGCGGGTATATAAAAATGTTTCCAAAATTTTTTCTTACCGGCGTATTGTCGGCAGGTATAAGTGCGAACCAGAGCTAATCGTTTACCTCGGCGGTGCTTCCGCCGCACATCGATAATATCGAAGATAATATCGACAATTGCAGTGTCCTTCGGGTACATGCGACTCGTATCCTACCGACGTAACAGCGCCGAGTGTAAACGTTATCCTTTGGCGCTCAAAGGACCAAACCCAGCAGGATGCTGTGTCACTTTATCGACTCCCGACCAATGCTTTTTCGTTTTCCTCTGCCAGTGCAATATTTATGCATTGATAATAAAGATAGACAATTAAAAAAAAAGAGAGAGAAAGGGAAGAAAACCAATCTACCAATAAGCGTGGATAAAAGGCGCCTCAAAGACGTCCGAAATAGAACTAAAGTCAAACAGTGCTAAATAACTCAGAGGAAAAAAGTGCCTCTACGAATTAAGGAATCAATAAAATCAATAACATCGAAACAATAGTCATCCACTGATATTCGGAGGACGATGCTCTCATCGAACATTTCACGAAATATTCAGTTTTATACAATACATATTATCTATTTTGTAACACACGTATATAGAGTGTATAAAAACGGACGGAGAAATATCTCGAAAACTAAGCATTTTAGAAAGAAATGTTTTGAGGCAAAAGTCATTAAAATTAATTAATTGGCAGAAAAAGATGATATGATAAAAAATTGGGGTTTCCATTTAAGAAAAGTAACGATCAGTGAGTCATCTCGAAAGTGGCGCCATCTGTAAACAAAATGATACACTTGTTTTATGTCCCCTTTGAAACCATACAACTTTTGTCTGGAACATTTCTTTCTAAAATGCTTAGTTTTCGAGATATTTCGGCCCATCCCGGTACTTTTTGTACACCCTGTGTGTGTAGAATTGTCCAAGTGAAATGTTAGAGATATCGACACCGTCAAACTTGGTACTTGAGGAAAAATCGGACATTTCATACTTGATCATATCCAAACTTTTCACTCGAAATCGAACATTTCGTATTTAATGACCTAATGTACCCCGTGTTCTAAAAAACACTGCTCTTATATATTTTCGTTGGCCCTGTGAATATGGGATAACAAAAGTGAATACGGTTCAACAAAAGTCAGAATTCTGTGTTTTGAAAGAAAGGCAGGAGAAGCACCTTTAGTGGATGACTCTTGCATTCAATCAGACGGCAAATTAATGATTCTACTGACCCCGGTTTGCACGGCGTAATAACTCTTCTGAGGCTTTCTCCAACAGTCCAGCACGTGAGACGCCGATGCCGTGTGGCTGTGGTGGTGATGAAGCTGGCCATCGGTGATGCTGTTCCTGATGGTCGGTGGATCGGGCCAGCGATCTAGGTTGCTCCAATTCCACTTTCCCTTCTGCTTCACAGCGTAGTACCGATAGACTACAATCGTCATGGCCACCACCAGGGCTAATCCCGTGCCGGCTGCAGCGCCGAATATCGCGGACGAAACCATTATCTTGTGCTTGCACGTGTGGTATTCTCGATCGGATATCTGTTGTTTAATCTGTGAGAGAAATAATGAGTCATTATGATGAGCCGTATAATGTGCGCACAGATATTTAAATGACGTGGCGCCGAGAGATTTGCGGGATCCATTTTACCTTTCGCACAGTTTCTGGCAGAATTATTCTAAAAAATCATTTTTGGGAGACGAACCGCTCGCTCTGCTTGGGAGTTGAAAGATTAAAGAAAATTGTACAAATATGCCAAGCTGAAAGGATTTATAAATTACAAGAGAAGTACTTTCCTGTTACTTTTAATGCAATTCTCTCGCATAATAGACTTTGTACAAATCCCTAACGTGATAAAACGCAATAATATACTGACATAAAACTGAAGCTATACTGAATAATAAATTTATTAAACCATGAACATGAAAACCGATTTTATGCACGATCACACAAGAATACAAGCGAATAGAAATGAAGAGAGGGAAAGAAACTTATGTTTATTAAAATGAACCATATTGGACACTCACTAATCTGCGGTTGTTAATGAAACCCTGTTTATAATTAGAAATTATCGATAATCGTGTTGCCGCCAAGCTGCGGGGTCGAAATCGATAGCAATAACTGTTTGGCTGCTAACGAAGTTGTGCAGCATTAAACACGAAAACGGTTGAATGAAAAAGCGTAAATAGGTGAAAAAAAGCGAGCTGCGCTTCTTAAAACCACGACCACGGCGGATTTGTGTCGTAAAATGAATAACAATTTGAGACCTGAATGGGCGACGGTAAAAGCACGAAGCTTTTTTCAGACCGAAAGAGAGAGAGAGAGAGAGAGGGGGAGAGAGAGAGAGAGAGAGAGAGAGAGAGAGAGAGAGAGAGAGAGAGAGAGAGAGAGAGAGAGAGAGAGAGAGAGAGTTGTGTTCTTCGTTTATCAAATGAATTGTGACTCGTGTAATTAACATAGGCAATGAATTACTTCCTCCGCTCGCTGTTGCAACTTTGCCGTATCTATCTACTCGCTACTCCACCCCTTGTTTATAGAAGTTCCATGTTTCATAGTTAGGTAGTGAATTATAAGCCAACTGTACTCCTGTTTATACATAAAAAAAACTTGAATAATTTTGCACGAAGAATACAGTTTATGCAATGTTACTCATAAATAATTGGTGGGTTCTCAATCAAAGATCACACAGTTGTATCGTGTAAATTTCAACGAAATAAAAATTTCAACAGAGACTTCGGATGAAGAAAGAGTTGCAACGTTAAATATTTATAGCTCTGCCAAAAATATTATTTTTATTACATATTATTTACATTTGTATCATCGTATATTCTACCTAATACTTAAGATATAATCCAAATGAGAAGAAAGGAGAGAGAGAGAAAAGACTTGTATAAATCAACTCAATAATAAATCTAAGTAAATCGTTTTCGACATATTCATCTCTTTTATCTCATACCTTTCACAGAATCCCACTCCTTCGTTCCAATCTACAATTACAACGATGATCTCATCTTGCTATGATAAAAGGAACGAATCCAAGAACGAAGGAAAGAATTCAACATTATGTCGAATATTCTCCGATTTAAATCATCGTGGAATTTGACCGTGATCGTCCTTCGCGCCGACAATAAGGGAGCAGTACGCGTACTGAGAAAATTGCTTTTGTCTCGTATTTCTATATCAAAGGTCTCATTGTCAGACACGTGGTACACGTGCCGCAATGTGACCCGCGGAGATTTAAAGGTCGGTGATCCCGAATAGCACGAAATGTCTCGAGATCATCTTGGACGTGTTCAATACGTCTTAGGACACTCTCTCGGGCATTTTGGACATATTCAGGATGATCCTGGGACATTTCATAGCCGAGATATAATTTTTCGACGAAAATAGATAGTTTCGAATAAATGAAGTTTCCATTTCTCAAGAAATCATGTTAATCTCTAAATGTGCGGAAAAGCGCATGGGTAATTATGCAGTGTAGGGGATGCATCTTCAATGACTTTGACCTTGACATATGTTATCAAGGTTATCACTCTGAATAATGTGCAAAAGATTTCAGGTGACGTTGTTTGTTAAAAAGTTATTAATAAAAAAAGTTTCATCAATCGAGCGTAATTTTTCGACACTGTGTACATTTAGGTAAACTTTACACATGTGAGCTGAGAAGAGGCTCAACTGCATAATTATATTGAAAATACAAAACAAGTTTCATAAATACGATCTTTCGTCTTACTAAATTAATGAGTCTACTGTCTACTATATACTAAAATAACAGATTCTTAGCAAAGGCCCTTACACAAGTTGGGCACAAATAAATTACTTAAATGCGAACCTTGCGTAAGGGTCTTTGCTAATCTTCTCAGAATCTGTTATTTTAGTATACGGTAGACTTATCAGTTTAGAAAGACGAAAGATTTAAGTACCAAAACTTATGTATATAAAAACGAACGCAATTGGTACTCAGAATTGATAATTCGTTTTGATGGTTTTGAATACCATTCAAAAAGTTCAAATTTTCGGTCATTGTTTATTACAAACGGTGAATACAAATTACGTTCATTTTGTTGAACTTCTTTCGTTGATAATTTTTTAACAAACAACGAGCGCCGCCTAAAATCTTTTACACAGATGACTTTGACAACATATGTCAAGGTCATTGAAGGTGCATCCCCTATACCGCATAATTACCAGCGCATGTAAGAAGATGCACGTCTCTTGTTTCTAGTTGATTTATCACACATATCAAGTCGATGAAAATTAGAATAAAATACATGCGCACGCTTTCCTTCGAAATTTCTGACTTACGTCAATTCGTTTGCGAATCTTTCAATGAATTATGAATCCTCCGAGCTTCGACTGATGTTCGATATCGGCAAATGAAACACCTAGTACAACCTACACATGTACATTGACGCACAAAGTGTACTGACCTGAGATGCTTTAGACGCACACGAGTGCAATCTAACGGCCGCGTGACGTATTAGGAGTGGGGACAAGGCCGTACTAACGAAAGAGGTTACCCACTCACCCCGCCCGATAAGATTTTCTAGAATCACGTCTGTGGAACGCAGCTACGGAATGTAACGGTGCTTCTACCCCCGCATGACGTAATGCCGCAGGTGGCCGTTGAGGTAGTTATTTATATTTAAATAGCGCGGATCGGGAGCGCAGCGATCAATATGATTATCGATGTATTCATTTCTGAAAATCGGCTTGAAATAAAATTGTTGGAAAAACTGAAACTGCTTTCTAATCGACATGGAATTGTTTTTCCTTAATATGGAAAACAATTGATAACATTAGATTATCTTGATTAAAAACATTATCTATAATTTGTAGCAAAAATTAGTCCTAGTTGGAAGATGGGAAACTTTGGAAAAATGTCAAATCTCTATTTAATATATATACAATGTGCTATTATAAAGAACAATAATAAGTTTTTCCTAACTTCAATGGTGAGCTTCAAATAATTTTCTTCAGTTAATAATTAGCTAATTTGCTACGAACGAATCTTTTGTTTCATTGAATAATTTAATTCAATTTGTTCAATTGTGTAGGAAAAGTAACATTTAAATAATATAGATATGTATATATTTCATGCAAATTATTGACAACCTAAATTTTGAAGTATCAGTTCACATTTTGTACGTTCTTTTTTTAATTTTAACTTGTTATTTAACTACAATTTTGAAAGACTTTCTATTCTGATAAAAAATTCGACTTTAAATTATTTGCAGAAAAAATATACCGCACAACATCGATATCTACTAGCTTTTAAGGACCGCTTCACCTTTTCGTGCGACTGCCGTGACGAGATACGCGAGGAGGATAAAAGTTCCGCGAGAAGCTTATATTTCTTCGGGAGAGTTCGCGAGAAGAATTGCAACAACGTCGTGAAGTCGACCCAAGTCAATTCTCATTGTTTTGTTTCGCAAACGTTAATGTGCCATTTATACCCGCTTTATTCGGGAAACATGACGCTGGCGCGGATACACATTTCCACAAAAGTTTCCGACATGTAGATTGCCGCGCTTTCTTCGATTCCGTCAAGTTCGAGCTACCTTTGAAAAATGTAACGGACTCCCTCGCGGGAACGAGGCCGTTCCTAAGGGGAATTATGTGACATAATGTGGTTCTTTGAACGAGTTATTTGTGTTAAGCAAACGTGCGTCGGCTGACCTCTGTCGGATGTACGATTGCTCGTAGGAAGGTACGCGCTGACGGACGGATTTAACGTCAACATAAACAAGCACGCAGGATGCATTTTGCGTGTCGCCTTTGATGACTGATGGAGATAATTCCGTGTTTCGGATTTTGGCCGAAATTTGCAGTTCGCAACGCCATTAGCGAGTTCAAAGCCGCAGAAGCGCGGGAATGTATAATCGCATCAGCGATACTGTCCAAAACGCACCATTGTTCCATCAGAAACTCGCAAAATCTATTAATAACACGATCGCAAGTTTTTATTTTAAACTACTTGAAATTTCGGTTCCACATTAAACCTGCAAATTCTGTTGAACTTGTACTGCTAAGGACTGGAGGGTTCCGAAATAACGTTACACGAGTCACTTGTCCTACCTCGTTGATACAAATAATTACCGCCTTCTACCTATGTTGGATCTTAAATGCAGATTCACTTCAATATTATTTAACATTATTCTTTTACATACATTTTACGTACATTTAATTTTTCTTCCCAATTAAACCTATTCATTATACGTAGTTTATTTATGTGGAAAAAGTACAAGTACAGAGAGATTAACCGACAGAGAGATTCACACCAAGCTGCAACTTAATATCAGACAATGACAGACTGTGAATGCGAGTCTAAATTTCAACTCGGAATGTCCCTTCATTCTCGGGAGGTTTTCCAAGCGTTCGTTGAAAGAGAAAAGCATCGTGTATGACAAATGATTTCACACACCTGAAAATATATGATGTGCTCACTGTCCACGTCCCGAATTCTCCATTCCACTTAGATGCAGCATCCTGCTCTTCGTTTCCGCTCCGTCGTGGCAGCCTGAGTATTCGCTCTTGGCACCGACGCTCGCGC